CTCCTGTTGTTTCTGTTTTTCCTCCTGTTCTCCCCATGCTGAGTTCCTGCCCTTGAAGCTCCTGCAGCCCCCAGGGCTCAGAGCAGAAATTTGCTGTTGCTGGCAACGTTACATTAAATACAGTGTAGTAAAATTTAACACAGCTGAATGAAATTTAAATTTAGATTCGTACAACTCACGTTTTATACCATTAAGTACCATTTACTACAACTGGCATTTAAACAAATACAGCTTAAAAGTTTACAACATTAAATACAATTTAAATTGAAATTCATATGTAACTTAAAATTAATTCAAGTAAATGTAATTTAATGCAATGTAAGCCTTACTTCACATTACTGAAAGTTAATGCAAGTAAAAACCATTTAACATCATTTAAATTTAAAGTGATAAAAATTAGCTTTATGCAATTAAATAAAATTTAATAGAATTTAAATTCATACAACCTAAAGTTAATGCAAGCAAATACTATTCAATACCGTTTAAAGTAATACAACTTAAATTTATACAACTAAGTACGGTTTAATACCATATAAGTTTAAATTCATACAACTTAAAATTACTACAAGTAAATTCAAATGAATGCAATCTGAATTTAAATTCACACAACTTAATGCAAGTAAATACTACTTAAGACCACTTAAATAAGCTAATTCAAGTTAAATTTATACAGTTAAATACAATTGACTACAATTTAAATTTATACAACTTCAAGTTAATAAAATGTAAAATTAGATTAACATCTATCAAATTGATACCAATAGCTACAAAATCAACTTTTTGCAAAAACTATGCATCTTTTTTTTAGCCCTGTGGCCAAGCTTCGTGGGTTGGGAATGAACATGTTTGTGTTTTCTAGTCTCAAATATTTCTGCCCATCTGGAGTCCAGTCGATGTTTTCCATTCCAGGTATTTGCATGCGTGGGATCCTTAAGTAAAACTCTTCTCCTTCCCTCAGGTACTCTTCAATTAGTGCCACCTGCAATTAGAAAGAACTGCTGTCACAAGCAAGTCCATTCACCTCCATAAAAACTTTAAAAGTTGCTGCAATTAATTTATTTCAAAACTAATAGTCATTAGAAACAGAAATAGACGACGGCTCCTCTTGGACAACTGGTTGCACAGTGGTACCTGACTTTGTCATTATTTTTGTTTTCTGCATTTCTGTTTGGATTCAGTTCCTTCATTGCTGTGGAGCAGACTCCACACAGAGATCTGCTCAGGATGCAGACCCTGCATGGTGGGAGGATCTAAAGAATCAATCTGCCCATTGCATTTGAAGCTGAAATAATTAAAATAAAATAAAAAATCCCGTTCTGTCATGCTGACGGGCATTCAGTGCAGTGTGGCTTCTTCGGGCACAGCACAGAGGAATGGATTGGGAATTAATCCAAGCTCGTGTTCTGATCCCTGAAGGGCTCCTCAGCCTGGCCTCGCTCTGGCCCTGGTTTGGGTCACTGGGGGTGTCTCTGTGTGTTTGTGGGAGAGGCAAACAGCAAAGTTTATGCACGGCTCCATCTGCTGCCCTGGGGAACCGAGGGCACAAGGAATGCTGAATTTGTCTTTACAAATGAGCTGTGGATCTGCTGGTAGATAAATCCAGCACTGAGAAGTAAAAGAAACAATGGGATGGATTCCACTGATTGATGAATGGAAAGAGATATTTGCCTTTACAAACAAACTGCAGGGCTGCTGATAAATGAAATTGGATATCGAAAGATGAAAGAAGCAACGGGGGGAAAACTATGAATTCTGTAAGAATTAAAAATTGAAAGGGAGGGTTATACATTAGAGGGGAATTTCAGGTATCAGGGGCTTGGGAAGTCTGTGCCTCTCAAGGACCTCAGCCAGTGGGGAAAGAGAGAGGGAAATGTGGAAACACGCAGAGGATGAGGCAGAGGATTCCTGGCGCCAGCCTCCTTTTGAAGAAGTTGAAATAAAAGCCTAGGACATCATGGACTGGCCAAAAGCGTGTGGGGAGTCTGGGGAAGACGGAGCCCAAAGTGCAGGGGTCCAGTGCAGGGCTTGGCCCTGTTAACCTGAGCCCGCAGGACTCTTCAGCCAGAGACCAAACTAAAATGTCTGCACCACTCTCCTCTGCACTTAAACATGCCTTTTCTGCTCTGGGGGCAGTGCAGGTGTCTGGGTGAGCAGAAAGGGCAGAAAGAGGAAGGAAAACGGGTCCCAAGTGATGGGTGGGGTGTGGAGTGAGGGCAAAGGGGAATGGAACAGCAGCAGGATTTTCAGCAGCTCTTCAGGACCATCCAGCAGAGTCTGTGCTGCTGGGGATGCCACCAGCAATGAGAGGAATGATGCTCCGAGCTGGACCCGTGGTCTGGCATGGTCTGCCTTGTGCTTTTTGTATTTACAGAGACCAGCTGCGATGGTGTCAGCACGGCAGGGATGCAGCCAGAGCCCGGCTGGCTCCCGGCTGAGTCACAGACACCCTGAGCAGGCACAGAGGCCAAGGCACCAGGTTTCACCGGGTTCCTCCTCACTTTTCTGCCTGTGGAACTGAGCAGCCTCAGGGACCTTTCGTGCCCGAGCAGCAGGCTGCCCTCCTGCCCTTGCCTGTTACCTTGTGTATTTTCGTCCACACTCGCTCTCCAGCTCTTCCTGCCAGGATGTCCACGGCATCTGCCATCAGTGACTGCAGCTGTGGCACCGAGATACAATCCATCAGTGCGGAATGCACAGGGAAATCTTTTCTCTGAGTACACAAATTAAATCCTAATTCAAATCCTCGGCACTCTGATGGTTTTGTGACTCATCTTTCACGCAGTGAGCACGGCCAACTCATCATTGTTTCAGCCCTTGCACTACATTCTTGTGGATCTAAAATACTGTAGGATTCCCTCCCCACACCCTTCCAGGGTAGTCCTGGTATTGCCTCACCCTGCACCCTTCCCAGCTCCTGGAAAATGGTTCAGATACTCTTAACTCAGAGACAGAGGGACAAGAGCTGGATCCTGCCCTTAGCATCAGTGTTCAGGAACAAACTGGGGAGAACTGGTACTCGAGACCTGTGCCATTGCTGCAGTGTAAAACATTCTCTTCCATAATGCTGGGTTAAATTAAAGGGAATCCAAACAAAAGTTTTTGGAGTCTCTTCACAAGCATTCTATGCATGACAAGGAACTGAGCTCTCCTAGCACTGTGTCCGTGGGTCTCAGCATCCCTGGGTGTGCCCAAGGCACAAGGCTGACCCAGAGCCATCCCTCCAGGGGAGGAGGAGAGACACCCCCCGTGCACTGATGCACAGCAAGAGGGAGATGTTTCCCCCTCCTCTGTTTCCCCCAACCCCCTTGGATACCCCCACTGTTGGCTGCAGCAATCACCCCCTGCTGGCCCTCGCTGCAGCTGGGCTGGGTCAGCCAAGGCCCAGCCCGTGTTTCTCAGCAGCCTCACAGCTTCTTCAGCGGCCTGGGGCACCTGTGCCCGTCTGACACATCACCACGAGCGGGCAGGCAGCTCTGGTGTGAGGCACTGCATGGACGGGATGCTGGTGGATGGAGCCAGCACAGAAAATCAGTTTTCCCTTTCCCTTTCCCCCCTCTCCTTCTCAGCTGTACCCCGAGCCAGGCAGGTTTGCTGCAGGTGCCTTCTCAGGGCAGCCAAATCATTGCAATCATTTCCCCAGACTGATCTGGGGAGACTTCGGGGGCAGAGAAGAGATTTTCAATAGACACTGACAGGTGACTCCTGGTGGTTCTATCAGTCACCCGTGCAGGTGATCAGCTCCTCCTCTGCACTGAAGGGGGACTGGAGAACCCTTTCAGGTCCCCACATTGGACAAAGGACTTCCAGAGCACAGGGTGGAAGTACAGAACTCTGCCCTGGCCCTTCCTGCTCTGTCTCTCAGCCTGCAGAGGCCAAAACAAGTGTTGGAAACCAAAACCTACCAGCTTGTCATCCTCCCGAGAGACTCTCTGCAGGTAGGGAACAGTGGCCAGCTCAGCCATCACCTGGGCCATCACCTGGGCCTGTTGCTCCCCTGTCTGCAGGTGGCTGAGCAGGCTGGCGTGGTGGAACTGCTCAATGGCCCAAGCACAGGGGCCACGCTCGTCCTGTTTGCCCAGGAGAAGAGAGGAGGTGAGAGGGGAGGCACAGGGAACACCCTGAGCCTTGGTGTCCTGTGCCTCAATCAAGGCTTCTCATCTGTGCTGCTCTCAGCAGTGTGGCCATTCCAGGCTGCTGGGACTGGCTCCTGAGAGGCCACCCAAAGATTTTTCCTGCCACAACCTCTGTAGCAGTGCTAGGAAAATAAAGACGTCGTCGTGATAGATGGGAAGGGGAAGACAGCAGAGCACAAATTCAGTTTTCTCCTTTGGAAAGGGCTTTTCCACCACCCCCTCTGTTGAACATCACCTGACTTTCCTGGGTGGCTTTTCCAGCCTCAGGGCAGTGGCTGAGGACAGAGTGCAGCTCTCAGCTCATGTCTGGGGGCACACAGGCCAAGCCACGGTGTCCAAGACAGGCCCTGGAGGAACTGAAGCCTGCAGAGGTGGCCTCCAGGCAGCCAGGGACTCGGCAGGCTTGAAGCCTGTGCCAGCTTTGCCTTCCCATCTCAGCCAGAGCCACGTGCCTATAAATGATGTGGTGAACTCCAGGCTGCAAAACCAAGGGGGCAGAACTGACTTCTCTTAAGTGTTGCCATGGTTTAATAAGCTTGGGTTCAGCACTGAGCTGGTTTGGTCAAAGCAGAGCAGAACAAGAAGCTGGATTGCACGTTTGCATCCACAAAGGAGGAAAAGGGCAGCAGAAAATAATGTTTATCCTGTTAAACCCCAAATATATTATTTCTTCCTCTCCAACTAAGTTGTAGCTGAAGTTTGGCCATTTTAATTCAGCTTATGTGTGATGGAAGTAAGATGGGATCACGTTTGCAGCTTGAAGACACTTGTGGAACACTTTAAAGGAAAGCAAAGTGTCCCAGCCTCAGTGAGTGAAGAGATGACAGCCCCCAGCAGCAGAGCAGCTCTGGCTCTGTGCCCATCGCTGTGCCCAGGTGGATCTGGCACTGCCAGCTGCTCCTCGGGTCACAGGCTCAGCCTTGCTGGGGCCACTGAGCACTCTGAAAACTGAAGGCAAAGGGGAGACGCCTCCCCTGGCCACGGCCATGGACCTGGCTGCTGTTTGCTCCAACCCAGGCACTCTCCTTTCCCTCCTGGGCCTTTCCTGCTCTCCACGGCAGCTCCCACGCCCATCCCTGGGGCTGGTGAGGAACCTGCAGGCTCCTGGCTCAGCCCAGCTCCCGTCCTCGCTGCCGTGGGGGCGGCACCAGGGGGGACCCCCTTGCCCCAGCCAGGGGGCTGCTGTGCCACCCTCCTCGGGGAAAAAAGTCCTTTGGCTGCTGCCTTCTGCGTGCTGGGGTTTCACCCGGGTTTTCTGGCAATGCACTTGTGTTTCAGCAAGAATATTTCAATGTCAGAGGGGAGGTGTAAAGCTGGTAGAAAATCCTGTGTGAATTCCTGCACTGGGGCAATCCCAAGCCAGCACTCTGCTCTCATCTCTGGCAGGATGAGTTTCTTTCCCTTGTGCCTGGAAACCAGAGCTCTCTGCTTATCTCTGCTTGAACTGTGTGAGCCTGCTCCTCCAAATTCATTTGCACAAGAGGGGAATGCAAAACCTGCCTGATTTCAAAGTTTTTTTCTCTCCCTGTTACTCTTTTGAGACTGCAGTAGTTGCAATAGAGGAATCTCACCTCCAAAAGCAAAGAGAGAATTGAGGGGGGAGGGATCAAAAATATTTTTAAATTGCCGTTTTCCTGGGGCTTTCAGAAAGACCAGGACTTTATCGTGTTTCCAGCATCCAACCCACACCCTGTCTGAAGTTGCAGGGAGGGAATGCCCCCAGCAGGAACAGATCCTCCCCTTTCCCAAAGCTGCCACTTGCATTACCCTGCACGCCAGGAACTGGGGCTTTTGGTCATCCAAAGCCCAGAGCAAAGCAAAAATTCAGGGAAGCACTGCAAAGGAGCAGCTGTGTTCCCTCGGGGTGTCTGCCCTGCATCCCCTCCCCTCAGTGTGGATGTTTTGGCCGAGCCCTGCCCACCTTTCCCTCTGCTCAGCCCATGAATTCCAGCACCCACTGCTGCCCCAGCAGCTGCCCTCCAGAAGGAAAAGCCTGAGCTACCCCAGACCTCCAGCTCACGTTTCTTTTTTCAGGAGAATAATTTAAGAATTGCATGGAAACAGTCTTGTCAATGTGGAAATTTGATCGCTGACCTTTGTGCTAATTGTGACATTTTTGTGTCTGGTGCTAAAAGCTGTGTCCATGATGGCAGAAAGGATGGAGCAGAGGGAACCACCATCACCTGCGACAGGTGGGAAGGTTCCTTCACATCTTCACCACACGGGGATCCAGATCTCAAGCACTAGAAATGCTTTGAGTAGCAGTGATGAACTGCTGGTGGAGCTCTGGTGGGAGGTGCAGTGGACCATGGGTTTGAAATGGAGTGAGTAGCTGTGTTGGGGTTATGTGAAGTAGGGATATAACACCTTAGGCCATAAAGATTGCAGGAAATTGCATGCAGAGGGACTTTGAAGAAACTGTGGTCACTGTTAAGTCATTAGGGCTCCTTTTTAAGAGTTTAAACCCACTGGAGCTCTGCCCCTAATGCAATTCACTGAGCATTTCTGGGCACTGGAGGAGCCTGTGCAGCAGGAATTACCCCCAAAATCACACCCCCCCTACCACAACAGGCACAGGGTACTCACCTTGATCTTGGTGCTTCCCATGAAAGCCATGGCTGCCATGATCCTTTTCCCAGTGCTCTGCCAAAATGTTTCTGCTTCTTCCTCCATGCTGGGACTGAAAGTTATTTTCTGGCCTAGGAAGGGAAATCACAGAAGCACAGAGGCTGTGTTTACTCATCTCCATTCTCTTCAGGGGATCTGGCAGGATGCTGGGTGAGCTGCAGGAGGAGTGAAGGGGATGGGAAGAGCTGCTGGCACTGATGGAAATGGGTCCCAAGACACCCCTCACCCCCTCCTTCAGCAGGGATTGTGGGGGTCACCCCTGAGCCAGGCCACTTCTTAAGCAAGTTGGCACACCTGGAAAGACTGGCAGCTTTTGAGTTACAAACTTCTCCAAGGTTTTTCCAATCTCTTTGTTTCTGAAGCCCAGAGTCAGTAAGTACTGCTGGCCAGGATGAGATTCAGCCTTCTCTGGCAACAGGTGAATTCCATGAGGATCTGCAGAGGGAAAGGAAAATAATTTCCACTGTCGTGTTTCTTTTCAGCTGTAAGACAAGTTACCTTTTGGGAGAAAAATAAGGAAGTCTAAGAAGGAGTGAAATGGTCTCCAGAAACTTTGCCAAAACACAGATGACAAAACCAACACATGCAGCTCTCACTGGGCTCTGAGTCTCAGGGCTCTGCAGCCTTTTGCATCAACAGCTTCAATTTTGCTGATGCCTGAGGTAAAGCATGCTCCACAGCAGGGTGGAAGTGTCTGAATGCCAAGCAGCTCAAACTCTCCAGCTCTCTCCAACTCCTGCGAATTCAGCTGCACAAACACAGTCCACAGAGCTTTAGGGCAGCTGAAACCTGCTGGTACCTGTGAATATGTGCTGCACGTAATCAGGGTGCTTCTCAGCAAAGGTTTTGTTGGCCTCCTTTATTTTGTCAGCCTTGTCCTCTTTCTCAAAAGGTGTGTACAGGACAGAAAAAGAGATTTCTCCACTGAGGGCTTCCTGAATCATAGCCTAAAAAAAGGGCAAAGAAATGATACATTTCATGTTGGGTAGAGGTTAGCTAAAAAAAAACCCAAACCAAACAACCAGGCAGTTTGGATGGAGATTCCATGAGCCTCCATCTTCAAGGAGGGGACAGGGACAAGGGGAGCTCAAATGGAGAGAAGAAATGACTCCATGCTCTCTGAAAGTCACATCAGGAGGACTTTGGAAAAAAATGCCTTCAGCAGCCATATCCAGAACTGCTGTGTCAGGGGAGGTTTAGGTTGGGTATTTAGGAACAGGCTCTTCCCCCAGAGGGTGCTTGGGCACTGGAATGGCTCCCTGGGGAAGTGGTCACAGCTCCAAGCCTGACAGAGCTCCAGGAGCACTTGGCTGTGACTCCTGTGCAGGGCCAGGGCTTGCTCTGGACCCTCCCTGGGCGTCCCTCCCAGGCTGGCCCATCCTGGGGCTCGTCCCCAGCTCTCACCTGCCAGTAGAGCTGCAGGAGGTCACTGGTGTCCAGCACGGCGCCCTCGGCCAGCACGTACAGACACTGGGCCACCATGGCACTCCTGGGGACAAAGCAGACACAGGAGAGCAGGCAGAGAAGGGGCTCCTGGCCAGGCTGAAGGCAGGCCCTGGTCAAAGAGGGCCAGGGGAGCTTTAGACCAAAGGTGGCTGTCTTGGGCTGCAATACAGGGTGTGACCAAAAGCTTGGATTCTGTCACCACCTGTTCAAATCAGGTGGAGCAGTGATCTTTATCCCTGAGGGAGATATTCTCTGCTGATGGGCCATCTGATAAAAACAGCTGGGGCAGCCATCCTTGTCCTATCCACAGCCCAGCCTTCCTCCAGGAGGATATTGTCTGTTAATGGGCCATTGGGGCCCACTGAATGGCTGAGAAAATTCCATCATCCCAATGGGGCCACTGAATGGCTGAGAAAATTCCATCATCCCACTGAGTCCCACTGAATGGCTGAGAAAATTCCATCATCCCACTGAGTCCCACTGAATGGCTGACAAAATTCCATCATCCCCCTGAGTCCCACTGCATGACTGATAAAATTCCATCATCCCACTGAGACCCACTGCATGACTGATAAAATTCCATCATCCCCTTGGGGCCCACTGCATGACTGATAAAATTCCATCATCCCACTGAGTCCCACTGCATGACTGATAAAATTCCATCATCCCACTGGGAGATGCTCCAGCCAGGAGGAGGAGCCAAGCCTTTCCTACCTAGATAAAAGCTGAGATTTGGAACACCAAAGCAGCCTTTTTCCACTGGATCCCAGAGGAAAATCTGACCTTTCCACATCATCCCTGGAGCTTTGGAGGAAAACTGCACCTTGTGCAGGAGCCCTGCTCCAGCAGAACCACATCTGTCACTGCAGGAGGATGCAGCCACCATGGAATGGGACTGCACCAACCCCTGACTGACTGACAGGGTCAGTATTTCTATTTTAATGTTCCTAGTAAAGAACTGTTATTCCCATTCCCATATGTTTGCCCGAGAGCCCCTTAATTTCAACATTATAATAATTTGGAGGGAGGGGGTTTACATTTTCAATTCAAAAAGAGGCTCCTGCCTTTCTTAGCAGACACCTGCCTTTCAAACCAAGGCAGCTCCACAGAACCCCCAGTGTGTGCCCAGCTCTCAGACAAACATCAGCAAACGCCTTCAGCTCCCTGAACTCCCTGCCAGCAAACAGCCCCCGATGTCATTTCTGTCCCACACACAAAGCCAGAGCAGAGCTGCCACGGATTTGGGCAAAGCCTGGCTCCTGGAGGATGTGAGAGCTGAGGCTGCAGGGGAGCAGGAGTTACCTGGCAGCCTCCGAGTATCTGTGCAGGCAGCGGAAGCAGGCGGCCTGGCGCACGTGGTTGCAGAAGTGAGAGGGGTTCTCAATGATGCTCCTCGGGGAGACAAGAGGGATGGGCAAGGTTAGACTGGGGCTTCTCACACCCTTAGAGCTCCTAAGGGTCAAGTGATGACTGAGGCAGACACCTCTGCTCTGCAGCTCAGGGCTACAGCTCAAATGTCAGGTGAACTCTCCTTCTCCTTCTCCCTCTCCTTCTCCTTCTCCTTCTCCTCCTTCTCCCTCTCCTTCTCCTTCTCCTTCTCCTCCTTCTCCTTCTCCTTCTCCTTCTCCTTCTCCTTCTCCTTCTCCCTCTCCTCCTTCTCCTTCTCCTTCTCCTTCTCCTTCTCCTTCTCCTTCTCCTTCTCCTTCTCCTTTTCCTTCTCCTCCTCCTCCTTCTCCTTCTCCTTCTCCTTCTCCTTCTCCTTCTCCTTCTCCTTCTCCTTCCCCTTCCCCTTCTCCTTCTCCTTCTCCTTCTCCTTCTCCTTCTCCTTCCCCTTC